AGGAACTTCCTCACCTTCGCTTGCACCAGTCGGCCATGACTGTCCTCCACTTGCGACGCTGCGTCTCACAGCTCTCAGTAATCGCTTCCTATTATTGAACACGGTATTCGTAAGTAAGATATCTAAAATATCCGCTAAAACGGCTAAAACGTAAAAAGGAAGCGTTTCTCGAACTCTCCGAAACTCCAACGGCGGCCGAATGGAAGCTGATTGCAATAGCGATGGTCTGCGCAGTTTTCAAAAGTCTCTTTTTTTTTGTTCTTTTTTTTTTTTTTGAAGACAAAACTAAGCAAATTAATATATTAATAATAATAATGTCACTTTATTATATTCGTAAAAAATTAACAAAACGTTTAGTCTATCTTAGGTGTTATCTAAACTTTCGGTTTTCTTTTTCAGTGTAAAACCGAAACTATCTCCAGCAATTTCTTCCTTGTCGTCAAGGCTATTTTGATTCATCAGCGCATGCTTGCACCGTTGGTATTTCGGCTTTTCTGGAAGGATCGGCTCTCGCGGCACATAAATAATGAGGGCAACCTCGTGTTTTGAAACAATTAGCGTGCCCGTCTTTTTTGACGAGGGAAAGACACGTTAAATTTACGTCGATTTTTTACAGTGTGGAAATCTCGATCGACGGTGTTGTTCGTTGTTGCAATTGTAGATCTCTTTTCACGTTACCTGAGATGTCTTAGAGTTTTGCAAGATAAATCTACACCATGAAACATTTTCGGTAAAACCTTGAGGTTGTTACATAAAGGCGCCGATTTCTCCAGCCAATTTCAGAGCGAGCTTCCATTCATAACATCACTTCGCTTAAGCGGATTTGAAGTTGATTTGCGCTGCATGCGACCATGCAAGGTGGAGCATCTTATGTCCCCATTATTAGCCGTGGTTTCTTTTGCCTCCTGTCCTATTGATTGCTGTGGATGCAGATATCTGAAACAGCGTATGTCATGTTGATGCACTCTTCATGTGTGTCGTGCGACTCGGCGGACATTACATGGGTGAATAACCGTGGCAACATTTTTTTTTAAGTAATTAAAATCCGTAAATTTACTTTTTTATTATTATTGCTGTTTTAGAGGCGGTTGGAGCCTAACACAATCAAAACTATTCACGAAAGAGCAAGGGGCTTTAAGATATTTATTTATCAAATTTCGCACTTTTTCCCTCGATTCAAGAACCACGCGCGGCAGGGGCGGGCAAAGTGGAGAGTGAAATTAGCGGTTTTGACATGGCATATCGGTGATGGCTTGTTTGTTTGTGTTAGCGAGAACTTCTCATACTGGAGTTCTATGCATTATTTAATTTTCTAGTGAAGTTACAACCCTCATAAAGTGCTGTCACATTAGCATGAACGAAGTTGCACTCTCTTGAAAGCGTCCCTTTGGTGGATGCTCCAGCATCATACTTCCAACGGTTCGACTGAAGAGAATAATTAAGAATAGCATCCTGCGCTCTGTCCAGTGCGCTGTTTTTAATCAGGCGACGAAAGGCAGAGTTTTAGCTATGAATAACCTAAAACTCGTCACCTTTTCGCCAATTGTTTCATTTGGGCTAGAGTTTATTCATAGCCCCTTTAAAATTGAAAAGTCAACATGGTCAATTACAATGTCAATTAAAAAAGCTAATTAGACAACTTACGGTGACGTTTATTTACTCATCTAATGTCCACCGAGCCCCACAAATATTTTGTGAAAACGGCATCGGCCTATCTATCGCGTTTTTAGTGTGTTGATGTTAAAAATCGCACTATATATATATATATATATATATATATATATATATATATATATATATATATATATATATATATATATATATATATACCCGTTATTATAATTTGAGTACACCGACTGCAAGCACTGAAAGTAGACCTTTAGTATACTTAAGTGCACTTTCGGTATACTGATTTTGAACTACGTTTTGCCGCGGGCACTACGATTCTACTACATGTACTAGTTTTGTACGGACGAGTATACTTTCAGTCCACCGCCATTTTTACTGGAAGTACATTTTAAGTACACTTAAAGTATACAATCAGTACGAAAACCGCTCTGAAAGTATACTTTTAGTATACTTCAGTACACTTCGAGTGTACTGATTTTGAACGACTTTTCGCTAAGGGAAGTCATTACCATATCTTCTACTACCAAAAACAAGGGCAGTTACACATTACACAAAAAGAGTTATGTAATTTTGCTGTATTTACACTCAAAGGCATTGATATCCAACGTATTCAGAGAAAAATGACACCTTCTGGTCAACCAACATGGAGCCTTTTCTACTCAAGTTTTACATGGAATGCATGCTGCCATAAATTGTGGGTCCTCGAGAACTTCGCAGCATCCCTCTAAGAGAACCCCGTTACAACCTCGATGCCAGAAAGAGGCGAGACGAAAATCAGGCTAATAAAATTAGGAGGAATCAAAAGAGCCGTAACAAGAAAGCGGCCCCGTAGTTTACAATGTGGTGTATTGAGAGTGGGACTGTATTCTTGATGCCCTCGATCCTCGCGAAAAAAGCGAGCACGAACCATGAGTTTATGGCCCGTGGCTAAAGAGAAGAATGCGCGGGCCAGAAAATACTCGGGGCGGTTAGTCCTTTGTTTATTATTATTTTCACATACTCCGGTGACCTAACAAAACGGCAGACAGGCAGGACTGCCGTTTCCGCAGGCAGACAGGCCGCTGACTGACAGGCGGGACTTCCGCTGAAATTCCTCGCGTAGACCGATCGAATAATCTGCCATTACTCCCTATATGTGAATCTCTCCATCTTCGTTCGTGGCCATAGAGTCATGGGATCGAGGGGTGTGGCTCTTCGTCCGCCGAACATTGCTTCGGCGGGTGTTTTCCTCGTGGAAGATGAGACCGGCGCGTGGTGCCGGAACAAGAACCTGGCGATTCTTCACTGAACCGCTTCTTCTGTAAGCTTCAAGAGGGCTTTCTTCGTTTCGCACACGATCTGTTCTGCTTGGCCGTTAGTTGCAAGATGGTAATCGTAGTCGTAATCGTTTATTTTTTTTTAGTGCCCCAGAACAACTGTGAGGTTTTGATGTGATGGCACATACACACAAAGAAAAGACTCAATGAGACATTGTTCTACGCATGGTACAGCAGTATGTCAAGATCACGCTTGAAGGAAGCAAAGTGACGAAAAATATCAAAAGATGATGACGCTAAGCAGTTCACTGAAATTTGCATGCCAATTAACGGTGTCAGTGTGTCCTTCTAGAATAGAGTGCTTTCTACAGATGCGAGCAGGCGCGTGAAAATGTACAGAGCTTAGCATATCAGCATTACATTGACCGTGGATCACTTTGTGTAAAAATATAATATCACGCGAGAGTCTTCATGTCAACAAATTTTGTAAGCTTAAAGTGGTAAGAATATATTCGTAATAATAATAACACCTTCTATTAAAATGCCTGTCGTACACAATACGAACAAACCGTTTCTCTACGGATTCAATTCGTGACGCATCGGAGGCCGCCAGCGAGTTCCAGACCACACTACCAAACTCAAGTTTAGTACCAAGAGGCCAAAAGTAGAGAAAAGAGTGAGTAGAACGTCAATGGACGCGTTTGGACGTCGTACGCATCGACCATGACTCCGCAGATGCAGATAGGTTTCGCCACCCACCGACTGAATAGTGAATCGTTTTCAGTCACTGTTCATGATAGCACTGAACTCGAGGAAGACTTCCGAGTCTTTCCGCAAAGTTAGCCCATGTGCCAACACTTTAGTCAAAAACGGTAAGTGTTCGAAACGTCAACAACGTCCGTAGCGACGTGCTGTGCTTGACTTTGGACGCTTAGCATTTACAGAGAAGAAACTTGCTTGTTCGTCTGCCAGGAGTCGTCCGATATCAGGTAATCACCGCAACCCCATCTCCCTACAAAACAGGTCTTCATTGCCCGCATGTCCATAGTTAGCAGTCATGTGAACTTATAAATTCCCGAATGCTCATCGCTTCCCGACGCTAAACACCGCTCATTCATAGCGTCTTCATTGCAAATAAACGTCTTTCTATTTATTCTGTCTGTCTATGCTGGTGGCGCAAACTTCATTGTAAAGAAAACTTCATCAGTCGCCCATTGGCTGCTGCTCCTGGGGACGAGCCCTGACGTCAAAGTAAAGTTCTGGCGATAAAGTTTGGTGCATGCTCGTCAAAATTGTGAAGTTTGCCGTGACGTCAGAATGTCCTCACGATGAAGTTGTTTCTGTAAAGAAAACTTCGAGAGTTTGGGAGCTCGAAATTGCGAAGTTTATCGGTAAATATGCCGGAACTTTGTTGTGCGCTGCTGGTCTCCCAGCGCGCCGACCGATTGTTTCGGGAGCACCGCGACGCCTTTCTGCTTTCGGAAGATAGGTTTGTAGCGAACTACCGACTGACGAAGGGAGTGACGAGGTGGCTGTGCGAGCAGCTCCGCCCCGACCTGCAACCAGACCGCACGACCGTTCGAGTGATCACCGTCGAGCAGCGGGTGTTGTGCGCCCTGCGTTTCTACGCGGCCGGCGGGTTTCAAGGGACCGTCGCTAGTGACGAGCACTTGGCGGTACACCAAAGTACCATGTCTCGTGCACTCCACGCCGTCACGACCGCAATCGTCGAGCGCCTGGCGGATCCCTGGATTCACTTTCCGACAACGGAGGATGAGAAAGCGAGAGCGAAGGAGGGCTACTAGAGAGTCGCCAAAATCAGCGGTGTTGTCGGTACGTAATGAGCGATTTTGTTCATCCAACGTGTCCGAGAGCTTTCAGGAACACATACGCGTGCATTCCCGAGCGATCGTCGAAGGATGACTGCTCGCGGAGTGCTCGCGACGTGCTCGGGACAGGAGTTTTTTTTGCGCCGCTCCGGTCGCGCCATTGAACTCTCTTTTTGTGAACAGTAGATTTCCGTAAAGCTGGATCTAATAACCCTATCATGTCACAGGATGCGTGAACGGCACCCAGATTGCCATCAAGGGCCCGTCTGAGAACGACCCGCGGTTTACTAAGGCTGCCTACTGGTGCAGGAAAAACTACTATGCGCTAAACGCAATGATTGTGAGTACCGAGTTTCTCTAATCGGCATGTAACTTAATCGTTACAGAGACATGTCAGTACCTGCTGCGATCAATGCAAGTCCTGAATATACTAGCGTCTATGACCCCAGCACGTTCGTGGCTTGGAGCTATATTTGTAGCAGCAACTCAATCAGCATGGAGACATGTCAGTATTCGTTACGATTAATACGAGTGACTAATATACTGGTGTTCACGACCAGCTGGTGGCTGCATATGTCGTCCAGTCTTAAGTAACACAAACAAGTGTTTTGGTTTGTGGCAGGAGTCCCTGCAGATAGTTTGAAAGCATATTGCGAAGAAAATGGTTTCTACATTTCCGCTCTACACTTTTCCAGGTTTGCGATGCTGACCTCTGCATTCAGAGCATCGATGCCACCTTCCCTGGCTCTGTCCACGACTCATTTGTGTGGCGAATGTCCTTCCTGAGGGAGGCATTCCTGCAAGGGCATGCCGTGCGAGAAAATGAGTGCCTACTTGGTGAGGCTTGGAATGCATACACGAGCGCTTAACCGTACTTAGTGTCCCTGGACCCTGTGTGACATCAGTTGGTGACAATGATGTGACCCAAACGTTTCTGATGAGGTGGACTCCTGTGTAATGCTGTGTTGATTCGATCTGGCAGTGCCGGCCCTACATCATCAAGCGCCCTGGGCGAACTGCGACCGTGGCGCCCCCCCCCCCTCCCCAACTCCCTCTTTAGATACCCCTAGCTATCGGCATCACGCTGTTCGTAAACATGTGAGTATGGCCCACCGTGGTATGGCCAACAAGAGCATTTTGTCAGACGAGAACCGATTCCCAAAAACGAACGGCGACCGAGCATATAGCGTCCTGTCGGGCGCCATGTTCAAATAAATAAGAAAAAAAAAGGTTAAAAAAAAGGGGGGGGGGGCGGCGGCGCCCCCCTTTTGATGGCGCCCTGGGCGACCGGCCAGGTCGCCCATCCCTAAGGCCGGCCCTGCGATCTGGCATGCTAATATTGCAGTTACGTCTCCATGAGGCTCGTCCTCTGTTCCTAGGCTGTACCTCTGAGCCAATGTCCAGTTTGGGAGGCTCTCCAAACCATACAGTTGCATAATACGGACACTCGACAGTGCAAATATTTATGTGGGAGAGATCAAGACGTTCCCAACTCTGTCATGCTCACTTGTCGCTGCATGTTCGTTCAACATCGTGGCTTTTCGAAAAGGATGATACCAAGTTGTCCCAGCTAAATGAGGCAACCCATCATATTTTCAAACTGCAAAGAATGTATAAATTTTTAAAGTTGCTGCCAAGCAAAACTCACCATGTCAGATAGCTGGCAAAATGTCAAAGCACCAGTACAATTAACATACAAGCCATGTCATGGTCTGCACTACTCAACCCATGGTGCTTGTATTATGAAAATAATTTCCTACGTTAGCCTGCTACTTGAAGCTCCGCCTTCGAAGAAGGCTAATCCTTGAAAGGAATTAGCTTACAGGTGCTTAGAAATACAGTATACTGCACAAAAGGTGCAGATACTTTTGTGAGTTGACAAATCGATCCCTTTCCTTGCCCGATGCCCTGAACAAAGGATTTAAATGTCTAATAAATGCATGTAGCAGAACAAAGGTACCACCAAACTTGTATTCGAAAGTGATATCAATTTACACCAGAATCTGGAATAACAAACCACTGTCGCCAATTTAATGCAGGGGACAGTGGATATCCACTTGAGCCATGGCTCATGACCCCCGAGCCAGGCAACCATACAGCGGCAACCGACGAAGCCCGCTTCAAACGGGCACACCGATCTACAAGATCAGTTGTAGAACGTTGTATAGGCATTTTAATGAACCGCTTTCGATGCCTGCAAAGGTATAGAACCTTTCAGTATGACCCCATCAGTATGACCTCCACAACGTGTGCCTCTACATTAATGTGCCTGAGCCAGTCCCCGAGCCGGAGCCGGTCCCTGCTGTCCCAGTAGCTGAATCTAGCAGCTCAAGTGACGCAGATTCCGATGACGCCTTGGCAGGTAACCTTCACGACCGGGGCATGGTTATCCGCCAGAGAAAAATACGACAGCTGGCTACAAGTGGGGCTCGCAGGAGGTTATCGACCTCCCGCCAACAACAGACACCAAGGGCCCCTCGTCACCAGCAGGCACCTCGCCAACAGCGGGCAACTCGTCGACAGCGAGCACCTTGTGGACAGCGGGCACCCCCTGCACCCCTGGGAGTGCAGACTGTACAGACACCGCACCAAACTTGAAAGTTCAAGTGAAATCAAAATTCTTTATTTTTCTTCATTTGGAGAGAGAAAACGGAGAAAAAAAAGCAACAGAACAGTTGCTTGACAGGTCACCATCTCCCCTCAGCAGCAGCATAAACAAAGCACAGAAAACAAGTAACAAACAAAAAGAAATAGTATATGTAATTATTCCTATGAAAAAACAACAACAAAAAGGACCATACGTTATGCATCTAAGCAAACATTGAAGGCTCAACAAAAAATGAAAGCAATTATTTGTTTATTATAGACAATTTTTATGTTTAATTCCTTCAAACGATTTAAGAGAAGGGAAAGAGTACTTTGCAGTTGCACCACGACACCTGCTTTTTCATCGTACTTCACTTTGCTGGGGTATGCCAGATGCCCGTTGGTTTGGCACATAGAACTCCCAAATTTGACTTTTTCTTTTTATCCCATGAAAAACAAATTAATTTACTTTAATGGTTGGTTTCTGAATTCTATTAAGGGAAACGAACATTGTTTTTTTTTTTATTTTGCAATTTTTTTATTACGTTTGGCCTTGCTCAATGACGAAAAAATCCACCAGTCTGCTTAGCGCTGAGGCCTGCACCTCTGCAGCCTGAAAAGAGATGTAAAATGCAAGAAATCAATTGAAATTTGTGAAACCAATGTATTCTGCAAATTTGCCATAATGATATACTGTTTTGTAAGTTTATGGCTTAGTGATTTTTGTAAGATTCAGTGCATCCTTTGTACAAAGAGGCACTATTGTGCAATGTGCATTATGTTTTTTTTTTTTTTTAAATAAACACTTCTAGTGTTCTAAGCATACAAGTGTAAAGAGTTATTGTGATGTACGTAGTGTAGCTCCTGCGTATTGTTATTTTTAGCTGTGTTGGCACTGCTTGTGGCTACTGGTACAACCTGCGTATTAACCTAACCCTGTAGTTTTTAAGTGTATTTTCTGATGTTTGGTTCATACTTGCTCGATCAATCGTTTGTGTTGTGTCATTCTGTTTAAATATGACAATTTATGTAAATATAAGAATTGTGAAGACCTGTCTGCTTGTTGTTAGTGGCACACCAAGGACCATTATTTTGTTTCTTTTGTCAGGAGCACACCAAGAATATATTTTCTTTTTTCTTTCTGTGCTGGATAAAATTGTGCTTTCGCCTGCAGCAAAACATGAAGAGGGTGTAGAGTCCACCAACTCAAGCTCCTTTTCGACCCGGTGAATCAAGTAACATTGCCATGTGCATGACCGAGCGAGTGCGTGCGTTGCCGAATGGTTACCGTACTTCGCTTTCATACGCAAATGCCCCAGATTCCGGTTCCTGGGAACAACGCAGCTTTTCGTTATTTCTGTAAATGTCGCATTTTGGTAAATTCCAGAACCTTGTCGCTTCTTAGAGTTCTGAATGTTCTATGTGCCGAACCTTCTACGCCGATTGCTCCAGAAGCCCATGCGTGTACATAAAAAGCCCTGCGTGGCGAGCCGGAATCAGACTCGCCCCGGCGCTTGATCCTGCTGAAATGCCGCCATTAACGCCTGTGATGCTAGTTTTTTTCTTTGTTTTGAGCACAAGTTCGCCCCATTAAACTTTTTGTTCCAGTTCACGGCGTAACAGCAGGATCGCTGGTGAAAAACCGACTCTGGCTCGCCACACGGAGCCCCTTATGTACATGCGTGTTCTTCTTGAACAATCGACATAGAAGGTTCGGCACACAGAACATTCGGACATCGAACAAGCAACAGGGTTCTTGAATTTACCAGAATGCGACATTTTCAGAAATAACAAAAAGCTGTGTTGCTCCCAAGAATCGAACCTGGGCCCTCAGTGTGAAAGCCAAGCAAGGTAACCATTTGGCCACGTATATAGCAATACGCCCGGATTTGTGTAAATTGTGCTACAGACGAACAAAATGGTGCTACTCAGAGATCCGTAAGTAGAATGCTGTACAGACCGTTAGCAATCCATAAAGTGCCCTTCACTGGCACTGAATGATGCAACACTGTGAACTCACATCCTAATAATGGGAACAAAGTTTGCTTCTTGCCATAATAGGCCACCACACGACAGTATAAACCGCGAGTACAATACTTGCATTGGCCAAGCGGTTGATGGCTGCCGAAGTTTCCTGCTGTGCAGTCAGGACTGCTTTCTGCACATCAAGAATGTCCCTTACTGGGGGCTCGTCCCTCCGTCGCGTTGGGGGGCAGCTCTGTGACTGTGTCCTGGGGGGATCCAGAAAAGCTGTAAACAGCAAGGAGAAGCCTGTCAAGCATTGCTGCTTTCATCCACACTTTTTCAAGTTTGCACCATGTGCGTGCCAACATAAAAATTGTGATCAGAATTGCACCATGTGCATTTTACGCCTCTTCTGCCGTGTTTATGCAGATGGGTCTCCGTACAACAGACCATTCACGCAAAGTTTTGTGGTGTACCGTGTTTTTCTATGGCCGATTTTGAAGCACTCGCCAGAATCGAACATTTAGAATGAAAAATACAGCCATCCATTTGAAATACAAGCATGCGATTGTCACTAGCAGATAGAGTAGATATGATGGTTAACTTATTTCTGAACGTCGAAGGTATATTTTAAGTTTTGATTCAGTATACTCTTTAACTTCACACTCTGGACTGCTTTGCGGGTCAGCTCCCAGTGTGAATGGGCCATAAGCAACACACAATATCAGTGTGGAAACAAACAGTGAACCCTGTATAAATTGGGCATGATTAAACATTACCTTCACGCACGTCACAAACTACTGCAACGTGTGGCAGCATCACTTCTGTCAACTCGATTCAGCTGGCAGATTCATTTGCATTGCTGTTCATCAATTTGATATCTTTAGAGCATTTGTATAACTGCCAAACCCCAAACAATTCTAATATCAATTGCTGAACTTGCGAAGCTTAAAAACAAAAATAGATTATTGCATTTGAGAGGAGTAGTATATCAAAGCTGTGATCATGTACCACTAGTGACCACCTGCACGGCCATGATAATGGTGCTGTCACTCAAATGGCATGCCATTTCATTGGAGTGAGATGTAAAAGCCATTCGTAGCTTTTCTCGACGCATGCAAGGATTACCGAACTCGTATACTTCTTGTGAAAATGGAAGCGAGTCTCCATTCACCATAATCAACAGCCGGCGGTCCAGCTCCTGAAGCAGCTGGCTCGCTGGCCGGCTGAAGAGGTTCCTCTGGAGGCACCCCCGGACACTCCTCGAGGTAGAGCAGCTTTGCTGGCAGTGGGGGCTGCAAAGCGAATTCACTGTTATCACTGCTGCCCCTCTACTGCATTGCAACAAAACATATAGTTCCTCCTCAACATGAAACAGCATTTGTTCTTTCTCGCTGGCTAGGCAGAAATGTTTCAATATAAAACGCATATATTTCTAGTCGAGCAAAGAATTTGTGCACATTGTGGTCTGCAGCAGACTGGAGTTCTATCACACAACAGGTTGGGGTTCAGAGGCTCCAACGCTGTCGAGATTTGTGTAGAATGTGCGACACGGTAAGCGCGAACTCGACATCGGATTATTAGTGCGCAAACCGAGCACTTTCTTTCAGACTAGTTTTTATGGAGCCTTGAAATTCTACGAGAAAACCAGAAAGAAATCCTGCGATCGCTCGTTCGCGTTAACAGTACCGCACAGTGTTCTTGTATTTTCTATGTGCCTTCCTCCGTTTATTACGCTATTACGACGATTTTACACACAACACAAAGTGGGTTTCTCACCGAGGCCTCGGAGGACGGCGGAAGGGACTGCCTGGGACGAAGACCACCGCAGCCCCTCCACGAGTCTCCCGACGATGGCCAGGATCCGGCTCTCGACTTCGTTGAGGGGACCCAATGGGTTGGGACCACCGCCCGTCCGCGCCGTCTCCACCGCCAGCAGGCCGTCGTGTTTTCTTGCGGAACAGACTCGAGCATTCCAAAAATTTTTGCATTCGACCCTTTCCTTAAAGGCTGGGCCTTCCGCGTTGAGGCGGCCCGTAATTACATCCCACAGGGCCGTCCTCTCTGCTGTGGTAAGCGTTAACTCCGTCGCTGCCCGGACCACCATTCGATTCGCGAACATGTAATCAATGAGCATGTTGAGCTGTCGGTCCGAGCAGCGAGAGCCCTGCTTCTTCCGCTTTGCCGCCGGAGTCGACGCGCAGCCGCTGGCGTCCGCCATTTTCGTAAGAGATAAACAACCAAAAACAACGGAGCAGGAACGGCGCGAACCTCGGGCGCCGTTCCTGATTTGCAAATAAACACAAACTATTTATGATAAAATAATGAGGGGTATTTATTTAATTGAAATGTAGAGCTCTCTTAATTTAATGCGTACCTTTGATTTTTTTTTTTTTTTCCGAAAAAATAGCACCGCAGTCGACGAAGCGCGTGGTCCCTAGATTTCCCTCTCGGGACTTCCTCGCTCCTAAAAATCTGTGCCGCGAACCGTGACGTCGTTGTGAAGATGCCACCCGATGAAGTTGAGTGCTTGTAAAGTTATGGCTCCTCC